TTGCATAATTACTCCTGCTTCATCGTCTGGCTACAGAATCACCCTGAAGCACGCTACCCACATCTACTTGAAGTCTCAGTTACCCCAACTGCCCATGGTGTACCCTGTCCATTCATCTACTCTTTACTGGCTCCTCCCCCTTCCCTCTCCCACTTTTACATCCCTTACTGGTGCTCCCAGGGATCACTTGCCAAGAAAACCACAGATCCTTATTTCAGGGTGTGCATCCAGGAGATCCCAAACCAAGACATCCTACTATCTAATGTCCCATCAGAACTCCCTTTTTGGGGAAGTGTTGCAACAAGTGCTCAACTTAGCAGTTGTACAGGCTGGGAGGGGACCAGTGGGATGCAGTAATTTACCATTTACTGATTTTTTCATTTAAATCAGTTCATGCCATTCTAGCAGTCATTGTGCATATTTCTATGATCTCTGCAGACATCCCCTAACAAGCTTAGGTCCTCTCACCACTGCAGGAATCTCAAAATAGGACTGTCTTTGTCTTTGGCCTATAGCCAAACTCTGAAGCCAGTTTTTTGCACTGAATTCTGATAATAGTATCAAAAACAATGGTATGATTCAGTGAACACCAGATGTGTGCTGCACTGGGTTACACAAACAAATTGCATGAACTAATCAAATGGTCACAACCATAGTATGAGGAAAGTATTTATTTCCTTTTTTCAGTAAGGACCCCTTGTCTCAGGGCAGTTATAACTTATCTATTAGGGAGTAGAACTGGGACTTAAAGGCAGAGACTTGGCTAGATTCATCATTACCACTTAGGTTACCCCACCTTCAAATCTTCCCAACTCAGTCCCATAGAACCACGAGGCCTCAACACATATAAAATTTACTTTATGGCACACAACTTTAAAGTGAGATACTGTAGCTATAAAACTTCTAAATTTTCATCAAAAAAGTGAAACCCTCCATAATGAGAAACAATAAATGGATACTTAAATGTAATTGCAAATGTAGTATTTTCTGAGAAAAAGCTATAAAAATTGCAGTCTTTAACATTTTCAGTTTTCCCAAATTGGCCTTTATGTCAAAAAAAATTGTTTAACACCACTGCTCTAGGGTATGGATCTTAGAGAAAAAATGCTTTCTGTCCAACAGAACTAACTTTAACAGATAATGGCCCAAACCCCAGAGCTTTCTTGGCATCTACCTCCAGCTGTTCCCATGTTCCAAACAGGAGTGGGAGAATCACAGAGCAGTAGCTAGAGACATAAAAAGGATACTGGTACTTATGAAGCCAGAACCAGCCAAGCAGCCCTAGTGCTCACTGCTTCAATGCAGAACACACTTTGTCAAATTCTCTGTTTCAATGGTCACAAGATTCAGACTCAGGAACTCATTCTCAAGTCATACAACCTCCAAGGATCATGCTAGTGCCACTGTGCCTTCCTGTCTTGTCATTTTGGAAGGTTTTAATTCTCACATGAGTTTAATAAGAAAAAAAAATACAGGATTGATGATAATACCTTCAAAGACAACTCAAATAAGTGTTAAAGAAAAGGGTTAAGCAAATTTATAAATATGAGATAGTTAAATATGCACACACCTTTTTTTGTTGTTGTTCTTTTTTTCTTGTCTGGGTGTCATTAGTTTATAACACTGTAGAAGTTTTAGATGTACAGTTCCTCCAAATACCCACCACCAAATATGTGATCACTATTTTTTTTAAAGATTTATTTATTTATTTATACAAGCACTGGGTACAGTCAGAAGCACGGGAGGGTGAGAGAATTCACCAGGGCCAGAACAAGGAGAGCAGAGCAAGCAGACCGATGAAGTACACTGCTGAAGAGAGCAGCGGGTGGTAGGAGAAGTCTGTGCGCCATGTGGGACCTCCGCTGGTGGCCAGGGATCAAACCGGTGCTGCTGAGGCTGCCGGCAGCATTGCAACCCAGCGCTCAACTGCTGCACCACCAGGGAGCCCCGATATGCAATCACTATTCACCAGCAAGTTATTCTCTCTCCCTCCTACCTCCCTCCTTCCCCTTCCCTGCACTGCCCCCCTTACCACCATTTGTTGTCAAAGTCTAAGGGCTTATTTTTTTATTTTGGTGGGTTTGCTCTTGCTTTTCTTATACTCCACAAATCAATGAAATCATATGGCATTATGATATTTTTTTCAGAGAGAAAACTGACTTCACATAAGGGATCTCAACTGAAAACCACATAGAGATGTTTGCTGAAGATAGTGATCTTTTATCAAGTTGGTTATGTAATATTGAAGTGGAAAATGTCAGATTGACCTGTGGATCAGCTGAAGTTGGGACATAACCTGCAGACTGAAAGTTTTAGGGAACAACTGTTAAGTGCCCACAAGGCCACATGCAACCTGATTCATGCATTCCCAGATGACTGTACCCTTTGCTTTAGTCAATAAATACTCTGTAACCTAGTTGCTCAGGGATCATACTTTGGAGAGAGATCTCCCTTGGACTGGTGTAAAGCCTGCTGGCATAAATAAAGAGCTTTCCTCTTCCTCTCTGAGTGCTGCCTGCTTCTCTAATGAAAATCTGCCCTAATGATAAGCAACATTATATAACATGAGTTACAGTTACCTACCAACCTACCTACCTACCTACCCACCCACCCACCTATTCAATACATCCACTGTCTGTAATGTTGGTAATTCAAGCAATGCTAATGTCTTAGGTTGGATTTCCCAGAAGCAGATTATGAGATCAAGAGTTCAGTGGGACATGTCGTTGTAGGATTTTTCTCTGAAAACAGCAATAGGGCAGTGGAGAATTGAGAAGAAAAGGGAAAGAAGTAATAAAAGGTATGTTCAAGACCAGATTTCTACTTCAGGGACAGCTATCCTGCTGGGTACCTCCCGAGCAATACCTGTGGCACATGGCAGGGAACATGTCTTGGAATTATACTCCATGAGGAGTGAGGAAGTTGGCATATTTATTCTCCTATTCATATTCATCATTGGATGAGGACTGGTCCAAGAGACATTAACTCATTAACTCCCCAACATCTCTGACCTGTCCTGCATGATGGTCATGCAAGTTCCATGGCTACAGAAAACCCTTTAACAGTCCTGGGGGTTTACAGTACAAAGTGTAGGCATAAATAGTGAGGGACAAGGACATAGCATGGCAATGGCAGTATCTACTACAGTCAGTTATTATAAAATACAACAAAATCAGAATCGTTACACACATATAGTCATATATTCTGCTTTGTTACCTAATACCATGCTGGCAGCATTTCACATCTTGAAGTGTTATTTGAGATAATGATTTTTAATGGATGCCTAGCATTTCATTTTATGGATGTGCTAAAATTTATTTCACTATTTCCTTATTTACTGACATATAAATTGTTTTTAATTTTGCAGGATTTGAAAGAACTGAACATCACGAGGTGATATTAAGGAGTCACAAACTTTCATATACTAATTAGAAGTAGGCATGCATATTTTGAAAACTATCTAGCATTTTCTAAATTCATATTATCTCACAGTCAATAATCTGCTAAGGAAGATAAGTAGCTTCCTTTGGTCTGTCATTTACAGACTAATTGTTTCTGTTAAAATCACTTGGCATTAGAGTTTATTTTCTTCCTTGTGTTTGCAATAAATGGAATAGTTAGAGCTGAATGCTCTCACTTTATTTGGCATTGGATTGTGAAATATAAAGAGAAAATAAACTTTTTAATGATTTATTTCATCAACATCTTGCTAACCCAACTTCTTCTGAAACAAATGACTGCAACATAATCTGTACAAATTCTAGTTGTGGTTGCTTATTATTGAAATATTCCCCAAAGAGATAATGGTGCAACATTTCAAATTATCCAAATATATCACTGAAATTGTCTTTCTAGTAAAAGTGAGTATTTGGAAAGGCATGGCTATCTTCTAGATCAACAGAAGTAGGGGGTGACAGGTTAATCTTGGATCCTTAATAGCAGACAATAAATATTGCACAGATGTGGTAAACAAGAGTGACAAAAGCTTTCTTGCTTTCTTCTAGAACAGTGATTTTTTAATAGCTGCTGAGAGACCCAAGCTTTTAGGAAATATAATAGGACCATACAGCTGGGGTGGACAACATATGAGGCAGAGAAAATGTTGAAAAAGAGTAGCTGGTTCTTTACCCTTCTCAGTGAATATCTTTTTCGCATGGATGCTATGAGCAAGGTAATGTTTGGAAGGCAAAGATCTACTTCTATAAAAAACAATGTTGATCACCTTTACTTCAGAACCCAAATAAAAATCTTTCAAATGAGTGAGGTCACTCATGAGAGCCACTGCACTTACAGATGGTAATAAACATTTTAATCCATTTCTCTAGTTGTCTTTAGTTGGGTCATAATATATCTTGGGAAGAAAATGAAGAAGCCCAATTCTAGAAACTGTTGCCTCAAAGGGCATTGTCAAATTGTATGCTTAGCCAAGGACTATATGCAATTAAATATCACTCTGCTCTCCACTCCCACCACATCCCAGCTAATGACTTCCCATTTGACTGGGCTCTTATTTACCCTCTTCCAGTTTGAGAGTCGAACTTGTACTCAATGTTTGGTGACCCATTTCTCTTTAAATCTTAAAAGACTTACCTTCAGGTTATCTGTTCCTATCTCCTGCCACAACTCTTGGTGAGAATTCATTGTGGAAGGCAATGCAAACATTATAATTCTAGACAGAATTAGGATGACCTTAAAATTGGAAATGTGGGCAGGAGGGAAGGAATTTAAAACTGAGGTCACAATATAGATAATTCCCAATATGAACCACTTCTAGCAATTTTTTTAGAGGAATTCCAATTTGGATCAAAACTCCCAGGATATATGTCCTCCTGTGGGGGTGGGGGAAAGTTACTGGGTGAGTATTTTATTTGTTTTGTGTGCTCAGGAAGAATTCTTCATGCCAAGCGTCCCTAGGAGACAGCATCTTTCTTTTAAGAAATCACAGAAGAAAGGAAGTGTCCTTACTGTGAGTCTAGTGAGCACAAACCACCATTTCCTACCTGAATGGGTAGGCGAATGCTATGTCAATGCTGAGGTTACTTTCTGTCTTGTTGACACAGTCCACACTCAGCCGCAGGCCTCCGGAATAGCCACCGCATGTTGCAAATGCAAAGATTGCAAAAAGCTGTGGACAGCAAAGAAACAAAAGTGTTAGTTAGCAAAGAGGCAGTTATTTGAATAATGTTGATCTAATGAGATGTATCAATGAGAGCTTAGTATCTAGATTGCGAGAAGTTATGGTTTTCCTGAAGTATGGCATCATATTTGGTTCAGGCTGAAAGATGAAGGTCAGGATGACAACAGGGAGATGGGGAAATAAAATAACAGGGTTTGTTAGTGTAAAGAGTTCTCAAATCTTAGAGGGTAGAGACATAATCTCACACTGAAAGACGGAAAGCAGTGCACCCAGAGATTAACATGGATGTCTCAGATGGGGAGAATCTGGGATGTCTCCTTCCTTTCTTTCTTTTTTTGTTTTTGTTTATTTGTATTTTCTGAAAAAAATGTTTTGTATTTTGAAATATAGTTAATAAAATATAGTTAATTTTTAAAGACATAGGTAATTCTAGTGCTACAGGCTGGAGGAAGAGTACCTGAAAATCTAAGAAGCACTATTTCAGGGCACAGGATCTCAGTATTTGTTAGCCTCAAATCTTTCTTGGAGGTTAAATTTGCAAGTTAGTTGCTTTTTCATTGAACTATTCAATGATTCAACGGATTACCTGTCAGTGTCATAATCTACCCTTGTATAGAATATGGACCTGTAGAACTCAGAGAAGTCTCAAGGAAGAAAGACATCTAGGAGGGGTGGGGGGCCTAAGGTGGCCAAAATAAAGGCCAAACTTTGTCCTCTTAGTCTGGCTAACTTCAGTGGGCTTTCCTGCTCATTCCTGAAGAACGTGAATCAAGTAAACTTAACCCTCATTCCTGCAGTCATTTTCCGATTTATTTTAATTTTGAAATTCAACTTCTTCCCGTAGTATGGGCTACCATAGGAGCACTAGTTTTTTTTTTTTTTGCACACTATCATGTAATGGTGAAGGGCATAGGCACTGGTACCTGACCTTGGGAAGGTTGCTTAATTCCCCTGTGCGTTGGTTTCCTTGTCAGTAAAATAACATTGACAATAACTCCTCGGGGTCATTTTGCTATTCACCATAGGAGGCAGACAGTTCACGTGCACAGAAGGCTGCTGAGGGTAGCAACATCGCAAGTATATTCAGAAAGTTCAGAAGGTGAAATGAGTATTATCTGTAACACCTGCTGTCTCTGCCTAATCAGTGGTGGAAGAATTCACAGAACTGCTTGTCTCCACTGGCCATTTAACTTTAATAAGAAAAGATTGGCTAATGAGAAGACCTTCACAGGAAAAGCAATACTTTGTGGGTTGTTTTTGTGTGCAGTGGTTTCAATTTATTAGTTTTCAAATTCAGTATTTTTAAAATGGAAACAACTTGACCAAAAGATACAGTGGGTGTAGTAAGCTCAGAATTTGCTTATATGTGTTAGTGTGTTTAGAGCATTTAGCACAGATCCTGGCACAGAAAAAGCACTCAATAAATTTTAACAAATGTTATGACTATAAATAAACATGGGTGAGCAACTTGGTAAAATGTTCCAGGTCATAAAATGGGAAATTTAGACTTACTCCCCAGCTAAATCTCTATGACCATCAGCCCCATAGAACCAACATCCAACAAGTACAGAAAAGCTGATTTTTTTTTTTTTTTTTGCTTTTCTTCCTAGTTTGCCTGAATGGTGGGGTTTGAGGAGGCATTCAGAAGTAATTCAAATCACTGTACAATCTAAGGATGGCACACATACTGCCAGGTCTCCAGGGAATCTGATCTTTATGCTGATAGCACAGATTTATTCCTCATGCCCAAATGCACATTTTGTGCCAGCTCTTAGCACTGCTTGGGACAAGGAAGAAGTAAATTTTTTTAAAGATTTATTTATGCATCTAAGAACTGAGGTACAGGCAAGAGGTACGGGGGTGAGAGGATTCACCAGAGACAGAGTGGGGAGCAGAACAGGCAGACTGACTGAAATATACTGCTGAGGGGAGCAGTGGGAGAGACAGAAAAGGTCTGCTGCACCATGTAGGTATCTCCCTGGCCTGCTGGGGATCGAACTTGTGCTGCAGAGGCTGCGGATAGCTTCACAGTGCTGTTCTTCACATCTTGCACCACCAGGGATGCCCAAGGAAGAAGTAATTTTTTTTTTCTATACATATATATATAGTGTGTGTGTGTTTTGTTATCTAATCACATAAGAAGTAATTTTAATTGTTATCTAATCACATAATACTGGATGTCCAGCCCCATCTGCCACACAATGCCTTTAGTAAGGCATCTTCCAGATGAACAGAGTGACAGACCTGAGCTAGGGCTGAAGAGATAGCCCTTTCCCTGGCCAAGGAATTCCACATTCCCACATTAAAGATGTGACAGAATAGCATAATGGCTCCAAACCATTGTATTTTAAAAAGTTCCTTGAAACATTAAACTGTAGTGGGTTAGATTTGAAGGGCATGAAGACAAATCCTGTTAATTTTAATACTTGATGACTATAAAGAAACTACCCTTGGTTTTTCATTTTATATTAAGTGCTTTATATACAGTAGGGTATTATTAATACCACTGTATAATGAACTTAAGATGGAGTGATAACTATGAATTTAACTAGTTCAAAATGTTAGCTGCAAGGAAAGACGGTGTCAGACTATTGAAACCACACATCCTGGTATTTCTTATTTTAACGTCTATTGAGCTCTGAAAACTTAAGACATTGTTCTTGAGTTAAATGTGACTCCTATGGGCTCTGGTTAAGTCTCCCTTCCCCACAGTCCTCACTGATTAAAGGGAAATCATACTGTGCAACCGATATAAAATTCACATGGGTTTCATGAGGATTAAACAGATAATGTCTGTATAACACTGGAAGAGTCGGATCCTGCTGAGTGAATAACTTATTACAGGGATGGTTGGTTCAGTATTTGGGGGAGTGAAGTCAACTCATTCAGAATATATCAGCCAGGGACCGGGGCCTATAATTAGGATACATCAAGACACAATGAGGAGAAGTGATTGGAGGCTCTTGGGGGGATCAAAATTTTTTTGGTGTTGCGGAGAAACATGGAATAGGAGGGAACTTTGGAAATCTTCCCACCAGTTCCCCTGCAGAAGTCCTCCTAGCCACTGCACATAGGTGGCAGAGAGAAGCAGGTCTGGAGTCAGGTAGACCTGATTTTGAGTCCGTTTCCTAGGTGTCTAATGCTAACAGACATATTTAACTTCTCTAAACTTCATTCCCACATCTACTAAATCAGGGCTAATTTATTGCTTCACACAGCAGATGTTTAATGGTGTCCTTTCTAGCTGGTGGAGAACAAGAAGTTAAAAATGCAGAGAAAATTAAAGACGAAGAAGGTTCCTGCCCACCATGGAGCTTCATGCTGAATGGTGGAGATAGAAACAAAATATCATACACAAATAAAATAGACTAGCTTTCCCTCAAATCTCATAACACAATTTGTAATTATAGGAGTTGTATCTGAAGTTGGCACCTTTAAGCTGAGACCTTGAAGATGAAGGAGAGGAAGTTGCACAAAAAGAGGGGATCAGGTGGAGGAAGTGCTCTGGGCAAAGGGAAAAGATTGGAAGAAAAGTTTGATGAATTCAAGGAGTCAATAGAAGGTGAATGTGAGAGCTGGGGCTGGGGGAAGAAGTTGAGAATAATTGTATTTGGCTCACCTGATTTTGTGTGCACTAGAACACACATAAAACATTCACCTTGAGCTCCTGCCACTGCCACAGCTACTACGCTATTGAAGGAAGTGAGAGCTAGAGAGGAAAATTCAATCAACTAGAGTAGATTTGGCACTAAGATTCTAAATTCCCTGCATCAGTATTCTAATTAGCTCTGTAATGACAGGAAGAATAAGTGTTGGCTACCTGGGAAGTTGTTGACCGTCAAGTGGGTCAGTCTTCTTTATCCAGAGATTCATCACAGTGCTTTGGTAGCCTGAGCCTCTCACCCATTTATCTACATGTTCACTAGGAGCCAGGTGGGTGGATGGATGCTCCTATTTTCTCTCCTTCCCTCTCTCTCTCCTCCTCGCCCTCCCTCCCTCTTCTGCTTCTTTTCTTTCTTCTTTTCACCCTCATATGGTAGAGGATTTTAGAGGGAGGGTCTAGGAAGATGTTATAAAAGAACAGAAACTTCCTTAGCTTGACAATTGTTGCTTCGAGAGACCATCACCATTAGCAAGGGGAAGGTTTATGTGTCTTGTGAATGTTTGGCTCTGCAAAACTAATGTGGATCCCTAAGACAGACAATATTTCCTTCTGGGAAATGGAAAAGGTGGGAGAAGCTTTGTTATGCAGCCATGATGGAATGAGAACTGGGGGTGGGTCCTTGAAGGTTAAGGAGAGAGAAGAGCCTTGAGTGGACAGAATGTGGGGTGAAAAAGAGTTGAGACAGGGGCTAGAAAGAATGCTTGCAATCTGGGATCTACCCTAGGACTACAACCAACTTGACAAGATATAGAAAAGACCTGGGTTTCTGTGTATGCACATGCATATGCATATTCTAATCTCCAAACTCTGGGCTCTGTGTGCTCACCCTCAGCCAACTCTGCCTTCTTTCTGTTAATGCAGTATATACATGAACCATTCTGAATATTGAGGGTACAGCCCAGGGGCAAAAGTCCCTTGGCCCAACCAAGAGAGATTATGAGACCTCTGTGTTTCCATCTTTCCTCAAGATCCCCCAACAAAACAGGTATTTCACTCATCCAGCATATTATAAGATAATCAATATTATAACAATTGGTCCAATCATCCACTACCCTTGAGTCCAGGAAACAAAAATAAATCTCCTACAAAGGACTCTCATTTCATAAAGTCTTGGATGATCTATGACTCTGTTTCTAATAACAAAAAATTATTCTCTAAATGGACAAAATTAGCCAGCAGAGATTTTCCTTGTAAGTGTCCTGATTAGAAATACATTCAGGTGAAAGAGAATTGAAGCACTGCTTTGCACTTTCTGGCTTAATAAGCATCCACATACCAAAATCACCCAGAGCAGGAATATCTCAGCACAGTAAATGTTACCAGAGTTTTACCCCTGGAAACAGAGCAAGCAACTCCCTCCTTGGAACTAATTGAACCACACAACAAATATCCATGAAAGCTGCTATTAATCCTTCTGGTTAATTTGCAAGACATAGTAAAAAGCAATAAGTTGGAGAGGAACAAGAAATAAGGCTGTTGAATGGCTCTGTTAGGGCACTGTGGTCTGTAGATAATATCAGGGAAGGAACATCACCCAAGGCCTGGTACACAACCACAGGCATCAAGGACAATTTGAAAGAAATAAGTGAGAGTAAAGGAGAATGGCAGAAAAGGGATAGGGAGATTGGAAATAATTATTGAAGCTCATATTGTCATTAACCTGTGTGTACTGACAATCATATCTCCAGAGGATAAAGCTTGGACTTGCCAATTTCCATGGTGTAAATGCTCCCACCGTAGCCAATTCCAAGCTACCAACATATACTACTTCTGAACCTTGACCAGGAAGAGATGCATAGTTAGCTGTGCTCCAGCACCTCTGCCACAAAGGCATTTTCTTGGACTCACCCCTAGGGCTAGGACCTTGGGCTTATTCATTAATATGTTCCCCCTTTTATCAGTTTTCCTCTTTTTCATATCACTGATTTTGAGGTTATTTCACTGATTCATTCCACTTCCACCAGGTATAATTATTCATTCATTCATTTATCTGTTCAATCACTTGTTCACCTAGCAGCAGAGACTGCTGGTATCCTGCTCATAACCCCTTAGCCTACTCTAGGCGGGGACGCCAAGACTATCTCCTTAATATCTAAGTTTCTCTGTTGAGGGTTTCTCGGTGCCCAGCCTGACACTGGAGCATGGTGAAAGTCTGGAAGTTAATCCCCTGAGAGCTGCCAACCAATGTGTCCTTGTCCTTTAGTGGGGAAATTCTGCCAGGTGTTCAATTCAGTTTCTTAGAGGATGTCCACAGGGATTGCCCATAGCGACACCTGCTCTTGAACAGATACCCACAGCTGGCTGTCTACCTTTCTCTCTCTCATTTCCCTCCTCATCATTGTACTTACTGGCATTGCTTCTCAAATCAACTTCTTGACTCAAAATTTTGGTGCTAAAGAACAGAATAATAAGCTTGTAATGAGGATGATGATGACAGTAGTAATGAAATAACTATATTCTGTCTTCTGTATCGGTTTCTTCAGTAAGTTTATTATTTACATGAGTTCATTTAATCCTCTCAACAAGCCCCTGAAGTAGAAACATAATCCCTCATTTTACAGATGAGCAAATAGATTATACAGCACGCCCAGGTCACATACCATCAGTACGTGAAATAGTCATGGTTTGAAGTCAGATCTGCCTTCCTCTTCCCAGTTCCCCCAGGACTGGAAAGACACTCACTCTTGGTTGAAGCACATGATTGGAAAGACTAATCCAAAATATAAATTTTTGGCTTGTTAAGGTTTTCTCTGTTATTTGCTCAAAAAGACAAGTAAGGACTAAATGAAACCTTCATAGAAAAAAAAGCTCTAATCATCCAAATGGATGCCAGTTGTAGCTCCTGTATTTTGTTTCAGCAACACAAGCTTTCACTCTGCAGCATCACAGGGGGAGTCACAAAGTCTGATGTCAGTAGGTTATGTCAATTACACACTACAGGGCCACCTCCTAAATCAACCACTCACATTTGGTTTGGGAGGTAGTTCTCATTTTCATGCATTTCCATTACTACACACCTTATTGTTTAAAGAGACCAAATTCCTTCACTTTTCACCCTTCTCTGAGGAACCCCTGTCATCCTTTTGCCTTTTATGATTTGTCTTGAGCTGATGAGCCATTTGCCCTCAGTACCCCAATCGCATTCCTGGGTACAAAGCTATGTATAGCAGCTGATAACCTCAATAGTAGCCCTGGAAAAGACAGAAGAACATATTTCTGGGATATTTAATGGTCAGAAAGATTGTGTGTTTAATTTTGATTAACTATAGCCAACTATAGCCTCCCTCACACTTGTTACCCAAAACGGATGAACACCACTTGAAACAAATGTTCCATTTCTACTCATTTTTGTCTCATTTTCTTTAATTGCATTTTTCCAAGGAAATTGATCAAACATCTTCCTAGCTATAACTTTATGATTACTGTAACACTGATGCAAAAGGTGTTTGTGACCAATCCTGTAAACCTCAGATGAAGCCTTCATGTGAAGATATAAATTGTAAGTTGTCCCTGAAAGACAATATAACTGTATCTTTGTATTTCATTTGGAAGCACTTAAAATCATTGTCAAACGTCTTTCCCCCTTCGAGCAATATGTTTTTTTCTTGTCCTGTATATCTGTGTTCTTAACCAGCTTCATTATCTCCCATGCTATCTTCCATTTCACACTACCTGTTAAAAATTGGACACCACGCCCTTGTAGCTGCTTGGTGATTTGTGTGAAAAATTTCTGGGCAAAAATAGTGTTAGAAATTGCTACTTCATAACATCACCTGAGGAATTCTGACCAAGCCCTGCAGAAGAACTCCAGATTACATAATAAAAGAAGTTTCCGTGTTCATTTTCTTAGACTTGCTGCCAAGAGACTGGATCAGTAAATATGCAGTAACAGGTAACAATAAGCTTGACCAATAGCCATTTAAGCAAATAAAGATATGTTATTCATACATATTGAGAAAGTCAGTCTATGTGGCTTCTGGTATTGATGATGACTGGGCCAATATCTCTTTGGTTCTTATGGTCTTTGTCTCATAGTCACGGAATGGCTATTGTGTCCATGGAGATTCTTGGTTGCCTATGAGACTGAAATGAATATTCAACTTCTCTGGGTTCCATATGGAAGGCAGGCAAGACACCCAGGACTGGGAATGGTTGTTGAGTGAGTATGCCTTCACTGTCTGCCACAGGGACTTACAGGGAGAAGGGGCACAATTAAACCAAGCATTTACTACACATTATGAGGCAAGACAACATAGTCAAACCCAATCAGCATCTAGTCATTTTCTTTTCCTATACAGTGCCTAGAAAGTTCTATGCCTTATGAGCAATGACCTACATTTAACACTAGCTGACAAACTGAAATGCAAATTTCTGCTTTAATTTTATTTCCTGACATAAAACTCTGAAGTAAAATGCATCCTCAAGCTAGCAAAAAATATATTGGAAACAGTCTTCATGGTTATAAAAAAATAATTCTGAGGTATTCAATCAATGGAATGTTATGTAATAGGTAAAAGGAATGAGCAGTATATAGAAAGTTGCTCATAATCTTTTGTAAAACAAAAGAAAAAAGCAAATTTTTGGCCTCCCCGGTGCCACAGAGGTTAAAGTCTCAGCGCTGTGAAGCTATTGCTGATGGCATCAGTTGGATCCCCAGTAAGGGAACTAACCTACAGCAGACCTCTCCTGTCTCACCCACTGCTCCCCTCAGCAGTGTATTTCAGTGGTTCTTTCTGTTCTGCTCCCCACTCTGTCTCTGGTTTATATTCTCATCCCCCACACCTCTGGCCGGCATCCCAGTTCCTGTATGCATAAATAAATAAAAAATAAATATTTTTCAAAAAAAGAAAAAGCAATTTCCAAGTATTTAACATTTGTGCATTGCATTTTTGTGAAAGGAAATATTTATACATATACACATTTTAATGGACTTGCTAAGGTCTATAGTGGTACCACTGAAGTATTTTCAGTTGCTACAAGAGGCAGAACCTCAGTTTTTTTTTTTAAAGATTTATTTTTATTTATTTATTTATACAAACACTGGGTACAGTCAGAAGCGCAGGAGGGTGAGCGAATTCACCAGAGCCGGAGCGGGGAGCAGAGGAGGCAGAAGGACCGAAGCACACTGCTGAGGGGAGCAGCGGGCGGCAGGAGAGGTCTGCGCACCATGTGGGACCCTCCTCCGGTGGCTGGGGAGCAGCAGGGGATTGAACCCGCGCTGCAGAGGCTGCGGGGGTTTTGCAAACCAGCGCTCAACCACTGCGCCACCGGGGAGACCCAGAACCTCAGTTTTTAATTATTTTTGTATTATTTCCATTCTTTCAATAAGCCTATATAACTTTTATAACTAGTTTTCCCCCTCAAGATTGTAAATTTAAGTAACCTCTGGATAACTTCAACAAAATAAATTCAGGTTTGTTATTAGATGGTTGTGCTGATTTGAACTTTCATTTGGATAAAAACAAAAGTAAAATCAAAGAAAACTCATTTCTTGTCAAAATTACCTTCAATAGGTACTTGAAGTGCTAAATCAAAGTAACCAATCAAATTTATTATATTTATAGAGCATGCAAATAGGATAAAATTTTTGACCTGTTTATTAAAATATTTTGACAAAGTCTCTATTTTTTTTTTTATTATTATTTTTTAATTTATTTATACAAGCACTGGGTACAGTCAGAAGCGCGGGAGGGTGAGAGGATTCACCAGAGCCAGAGCGGGGAACAGAACAAGCAGACTGACGAGATACACTGCTGAGGAGAGCAGCGGGCGGCAGGAGAGGTCTGCGCGCCATGTGGGACCCTCCTCCGGTGGCTGGGGAGCAGCCGGGGATCGAACCGGAGCTGCAGAGGCTGCGGGCAGCTTCGCAATCCAGCGCTCAACCGCTGCGCCACCGGGGAGGCCCAACAAAGTCTCTCTTTAAATCAAGGTAAAAATGTATTTCAAAATATGCCACAGGAACATATGGTTCATGTATAGTGCCAATCATCTGTTGAGTAAAATTACAACTTATCTTTCATCAGATCCAATGAGAGTAATTATTTTTAAAGAGATCAACTCAAATTTTCTCCTATCTGTCATAATGAAAACAAAAAATCAAAATTCAACAGGGATTCTCACCTAAAACTGATACAGTTTCTCTGACACCTGATTAGAAATTCTTGTGAATTAATTTCTTGCCAGTTGCAGTGTTTTTGAACTTGACATTTTTCTGGGGTAAATGTGATGTGGACTTCCTGAATTTTCTTACCTATTATAATCATCATATAAAACACTGAAGAAAATTATTGATGATAGATATCTTAACTACATATTTCTGCTTGACAGGAAAATTAGAGCAAGATAAGGTCATGGAACAAACCATCGCTCTGTCCTTTAATAAGATGCACAGAATGTGCTGGCACGAACAAGTCCTTGCGAGGAGCCATGCTTTCATGATAATGTAAAATGATTAGAATTTTTTTTAAACTGAAGATAATTTTTAGAAGGCCTAATAATCAAGTTAAAATCTTTAAACATCATTTTTTTTTAAATAAGTCTTAGATACTATATCCCACATTCTCTGAATAGAAAATAAAAGTAAAATTGGGATTTTATTCTGCTTGTGTTCTGTGTATTTGACAACCTATTTTTTTTAAAGATTTATTTATTTATACAAGAACCAGGGTACAGGCCAGAGGTGCAGGAGGGTGAGAGGATTCACCAGAGACAGAGCAGGGAACAGAACAGGCAGACTGACAAAACACACTGCTGAGGGGAGCAGCAGGTAAGACAGGAGAGGTCTGCTTCTTCATGTGGGATTCTCGCTGGCTGGCCGGGATTGAACCGGCGCTGCAGAGGCTGCGGACAGCTTCACAGTATGGCACTCAACTGCCTGCGCCACCAGGAAGGCCCTATTTGACAACCTTTTTAAAAATTTAAATATTTCATGATATAGAGTTGTACTTATAGTCATAAAGCAAATTAGAACAATTTAGGATTATTTAGGAAAAAATACTGAAACAAACAATTGATATAGTCAAAATGTCTTTTTACTAGATTGTAAGGGTTATTAATTATTAAATACATATTTTTTTCTTATTAGAAATTGTTTTGTTTTAAATTCAGCTTCACCTTAATGAAAGACAAGCACAGGATTCAATTAAAAGAATGTGGGAGTTGATTTTTTTTTTTTTTTTGCATTTTTGGGGCTTTGTGCCTTTATTAAATGAAATTCAGGGCTTACCAAAATATAAGACACAAGTAAAAACAGCCATCACATATAAGTGACCTAAGAAGTAGCAACCTAGAATTAGTTATTGAACCATTTATTGCCAGATTTTTTAAAGCATGCAAATAACATAGAGATTTGAATATACTCTATAGAAATGTGAAAGCCTTTTAATGTTCTACTTCTTTTAAACACCTCACTGGCAAATTGCATCTCCGTATTTTTCATACTTAAAGACACTCATGAATTTGCTTTGATCATTCTGACTCTTGACCTGGGAGTCAATGTCAGGACCTCCACATCATAATGTATTGCCATCATATTACTTCTCTAATAATAAGGAACTTGCTACCATATGTTATTTTGATTATGTAATAAAAGAGAAGAAAATCTAACATAGGCAGTTAAATGGTAGCATATTGTTCTTATTGAAAAATACTCAAAATACTAGAGTAGAAGTTCTACAGAAGCATATTCCAAAGTAATATTTTCTGATTATAATCATAACCATAATCATGATGACAGCACAACTGCTACTGCTGCTTAACAAAAAGCTGTTTGTGTTTAGCATATGCTAGGTTCTTTACAGATATTATTTCTTTGAAGTTTCATCTCTCTGTCAGGTACCGTCATCAGCCCCATTTCAGAGATAGGTAACCACGGCTTAGCATGGTTAAATGATTCATCCAAGGCCACTCAGACAGAGAATGATAGTTTGAACCATGAGTTCAAAACTATACTAAAAGAAACATACACATAAAAATCTACTGATCACTATTAGAGATCACTACAAGTAAACAAACCCATTATTTTAAAAACTAGTAAGTAAAAGGGAAGAATCAATCATTTATCTTGTTTTTCTTTTATGAGTACTACTGTAAATGACTGAACAGTAGAAAAGAGTAAGTTTTCCTTTATAGAACTATTTACCTAATAATGAAGGAATGATAGAAGTAGAATATTACCATTTTTGCAAGCTGCTATAGGCTTAATTCATATGTTGAAGTGCTTGACACTGCATAAGGAAGTAATTAAGGTTAAGCGAGGTCTTAAAGGTAGAGCCCTGATTGCTGAGAAATATTCCATTGTGTATACGTACATCTTCTTGATCCACTCATCTATTTTTGGGCATTTGGGTTGTTTCCCTAACTTAGCTATTGTAAACAGTGCTGCTATAAACATAGGGGTGCAGGTGCCCTTTTGAATTAATGTTTCTGTGTCCTTTGGGTAAATACCTAGGAGTGGAATTGCTGGATCAAAGATAAACTCATGCAATTTGCAGCAACATGGACGGAGCTGGAAGGGATCATGCTCAGCGAAATAAGGCAGAAAGAAAAAGAAAAATACTGGATGGTCTCACTCATAGCAGGAATTTAGAAAACCTAAATAAGGGACCAGGAAAAAACCTAATTATAATAAAGTAAAAATCAAAATCAACAAGCAGCTATAAATCAGAGACACACTATGGGGCGGAGGGGGCGGGGGGCGGGGAGGAGGGAGTAGGATCAAAACAAGGGGAGTGGGAATTGTATGGGGAATATAACCAAGATGAAAATGCATACATGTGCAAAAATGAAAAATGATGTAAAAATGTATAAAATAAAAAATAAATAATTAAAAAAGAGTTAAAAGAAAAAAGGTAGAGCCCTGATCCCATAGGATTAGTATCCTTATAAGAACAAATACTCTCTAGCTCTGTGTCTCTCCTTGTGCACATTAACCAAGGAGACTCCAGGTAAGCGCAGTGAGGAGGTGGCGAACTATAAAAAAAGAGAAGAGGCCTTAGAATAAAATCTAGCTGCTGGCAGCTTGGATTTGGACTTCTTGGCCTCCCAAACTGTGAGAAATTGATTTCTGTTGTTCAAGCCACCCAGCCTGTGTTACTTTGTTATGGTAGCTTGAGTAGACTAAGAAACAACCCTTAATGGTTTAAGAAATCTGATGGCTCATAACAAAAAAAGATGGATAACATAGATATTATGTGCCTCTGCTGAGAAGACCTTACCAATATACAAAAAAAATACAAAACTGAAAAGAGGAAAGAGAGACATATGACATCACTGGGATAAAAATAAGGAAAATACAGATCTTGAGAAACTTTCTAGAGGAAAACACATAGTTTATTGAAGAATAACAACAAAAAACTACTAAAATGTAGGGGAAAAAAGAGAGGAGGGAGAAATTGAAAAAGAAGAGCTTATAGATTAAAAGGCTTTAAAGTATATCAATCCAATGATTGAATGATATCAATTCAATGAAACTAAAAAACTCATGAGATTAAATGAGATAGTTGTTAATTTGTTGCTATCTGATGACACTGAACTATTGCTAATTTTAAAAATAAGTAATTTTGTATTGTGGGTTTTTTCCAATACCTATGAGATACATATACTAATTTATTTTTGGGAGAAATCATATAATGCCTGGAGATAGGCTGGGATGTGAGTATCATAGGAACTCTGAGAACACTGGCACAGTTGATTATTGTTGGAAGCTAATAATGAGGAAATAGATTCATTATATTTTTCTGTCTTTATACGTGTTTGAAATTTTCCGTTATTGAAAGTTTTTTTAAAATTGAAATCAGGGCCTTCCCGGTGGCGCAGCGGTTGAGCGCTGGGTTGTGAAGCTGCCCGCAGCCCCTGCACTGCCGGTTCAATCCCCGGTTGCTCCCCGGCCACCAGAGGAGGGTCCCACATGGCGCGCAGACCTCTCCTGCCGCCCGCTGCTCCCCTCAGCAGTGTACTTCGGTCCTTCTGCCTGCTCTGCTCCCCGCTCTGGCTCTGGTGAATTCTCTCACCCTCCCGCACTTCTGACTGTACCCAGTGCTTGTATGTATAAATAAATAAATAAAAAAAACTTAAAAAAATATAAATAAAATTGAAATCATATTATATACCAATCTGGATATGACTACATATGTAAACACAAAATTCAGTAGTTTTTTTTTTTTTTTACTTAATACAATTATATGTAAATAATTTTCATGGTCACTAAAAAATGTATTAAGGGCCTCCCTCATGGCCTGTGGGTTAAGTCTCATCACTACTACCACTACGACCTCAGTTTGGTCCCTGACTAGGGAGCTAACTCACATATGGCACAGCAGACCTCTTGTCTTTCTCGCAGCTCCGCTCAACAGTGCATTTCCATAGATCTGCTTCTTCTGCTTCCCACTCTGTCTCTGGCGAATCTTCTCACCCCCTGCAACTCTGGCCTCCACCCCAGTTCTTCTATGCCAAAATAAATACATAAATATATAAAATGTAGTAAAAGATAATCTTACTCAATATTCCTGAGAGGGACATTTTTGAAAATATGGAAGCTACACTCTTTCCTATTATTACAATGTAATACTTCTCAGGCTTAGGAAAAAGCATATTTTTTTTCTTTAGCAAAAAATCTTCTTTCTTAATAATTTTTTCACTGACTGCTCTAAGAACCCACTTAGTTCTGCCTCATAATGAAAGAGCAACCTTTTCTTATTATGTTTTAAGGAGATGAAAGATCACCATTGCCTGAAGGATTATACATTCCATGTAAATGACATTATTTCCTAGAGAGTAAGATAAGAATTTCTACCACCATTCGTAATGTCTTTCCATTGATTAAATTCAAGAAGTAATACAACATATCGAAGCACTTAATATTTAATATATTGGTTTTAGTTTCAGAGTACTAATGTTGTTCAACAGTGTTTATCCAGATCACACTGATCAGTGTATGAGTAAATGTTATCCATCAACTCCAGCACTGCAGAAAAGACTGCAAATAAGGAATCCTTTAATGATTATGTAACAAAAATATAGGGCAATTTTTAAAAATTTTAGGTGCTGTCTCTTAAATTCAACTTATGCTACCTTTAAACAAATTCAGCATTTTAAAATACTTTTAGAGAGTTTGCTCATGGGAGTCAAAGAAAAGTATGCAGTAAGTAGTGACATAATTCCAAAAGAAGGATTTGTATGGGCTGGAGAAAAATGGGAAATATGGGAAGAGACATGTAAGTGCAAAATGCCTTGCCAATAGTATTATCTAACAAAAATGTGCTTAATGGGGCCTCCCTGGTGGTGCAGCAGGTTGAGCAGCAGGTGTGCAGCAGGCCTCCCTGGTGGTGCTGTGAAGCTGTCCACAGCCTCTGCAGTGCGGGTTTGATTCCCAGCCGGCCAGGGAGATACCCACATGGCACAGCAGACCTCTCCTGTCTTCCCCACTGCTCCCCTCAGCATTGCTTTCGGTCCATCTACCTGTTATGCTCCCGACTCTGTCTCTGGTAAATTCTCCCACCCTTCCGTGCCTCTGGCCTGTACCCCAGCTCTTGTATAAATAAAAATAAATCTTAAAAAAAAAGTAAAAAATAAAGATTTATTTTTTTAAAATGTGCTTAATGAATGCCAGAGATAATTCTTCCTCTAAGGGACAAGAAGTACTGTGGGGGCTTTAGGACATGAAAGGAGGGAAATTGAGGGGTTATATGTGAGCTAATAGTAGATTTAATAATGAATGGAGATGAAGGAGGAGAATAATAATTTGAAAAACTGGGAATAAAAGCTAGAATACCCACTGAGAAGGTAGAAAGAAATGAACTAAAAATGAAACAACGAAGAATTACAAGGGCCTCCCCTGGTGGTGCAGGCGGTTGAGTGCAGCGCTGTGAAGCTATCTGCAGCCTCTGCAGTGCCAGTTCGATCCCCGCCGGCTGGCGAGGGACCCACATGGCAAGGCAGACCTCTCCTGTCGCACCCGCTGCTCCCCTCAGCAGTGTGTTTCATCAGTCTACCTGTACTGTTCCCCACGCTGTTTCTAGTGAATTCTCTCACCCTCCTGTGAATCTGGCCTGTACCCCAGTTCTTGTATAAATAAATAAATAAATCTTTAAAAAAAAAAAAAGAATTGCAATGCACAGTGCTACCACGTTATTTTCCTTACTCAGTGGGAAGATCTCTTAGCACAGGGGCCATCTCTTCCAGGATCTCTGCAACCCTACAGTGGGAGTGCTCTCATCACCCTTGTGAATGACTGTAAGTACACACAGAGCTAATCTCTAGAAAAAAACATTAGAGAAAAAAACATTAGGGAAAAAACATTAGAGAAAAAGGTTCTTTGATGAAGGTAAATGAAGACCAATATGAAAAACTGTCCTCGGGGTGAACCCATGCTTAGTTTACTGGAGGCATTAAATATTAATTCATTGAATTAATGGAATTATAGCCTTTATCTCTCTACAAACAGGTCAGAACCCACAAGTTTCTATCAAAGTACTTAAGGGTATCTACCAGAAGCGACTTAAGTAAGAATCTAGAGGGAGATAAGCAGAAGTTAGAAGAAAAAGCATCCACTTAACAATGTGAAGTCATGTAAGAAAAAAGAAGGAAGAAACAATATGAACAAACTGGATGAGCAGGCATTATGACAATTATAATAATGGAATAACACTCTAAGTTGTGAGATCATCTTGGAAGCTGGAATAAGATGAATTTGTTCGGGGGTGGGGAGTTGATAGTGATTATGTAATAAAGCTCCTTTGGGATGATATGGGGAATATGTGGGCTGATGTTTTACCTCAGTTTACCCTTTGGGAAGCTGTTGAGGGCTACAGACTCACTACATAGAAAAATTCTTATCTCTGCGCCTCCCTGGTGGTACAAGGGGTTAAGTACAGCACTGTGAAGCTATCTGAAGCCTCATCCCCACCCAGCCAGAGAGCTACCCACATGGCCAGCAGACCTTTCCTGTCTTGCCCGCTGCTCCCCTCAGCAGTGTATTTAGTCATTCTGCCTGTTCTGTTCCCCAGTCTGTCTATGGTGAATCCTCTCATCCCTCACACCTCTTGCCTGTTCTTGTATGCATAAATAAATCTTTAAAAAAAAAGAAAAATTCTTATCTCCATATACATTTATTTTTTTTCATACACATTTAGTGGATTCTGAGACCCCTTGAAGCTCTCTAATAGGTTAATCCTAGTGATCAATGAACCTTAGGCTAAGAACGACTGCTCTTAAAGAGAAGTATAGGCCACGCACACGTCCTTCTAAGTCCAGTCCCTCATATTCATCTGAAAGTTTTTTTTCAGGCAATTATTTCCAAGAAACTTTCCTGTTCTATACCACGTGCCCCTTCAATCCCCCACTTAGGCTTCTGATTCTATGTCACCATATAATTCCCCTTTTGTTATTTCATGTACACCAAAACTCTGTCTAAGATGAAAGTCTTACAATGTGGATTTCTTAAACCAGCTGCTTCTTACAAGGGGGCTGACCTGAAGATAAACTATAAAATGCCATAAAGCATAAATGCAAAAAGCCAGAAACTTTCTCGTGTTCCCTCAACTATAGAAGAAAGTGGCAGAATCCTTCTGGGAAACTTAGCAGCACAGAGACAACCTCAATGGCTATGTGTGACAATGAATTGATTTTAATGGGATGGGAGGTCTCTGAGGAATGTGGTTAGCAGCAGCAGTGGCGACTGAACTCATGGGTCTGCAGAGCAGAGGGAACTGACAGGAACAATGTGCCCCATCGCCACTCATTTCAATGTGGGTTCCAGATTTGTATGCCACACACCAGCAAACTCCTCCTTGCAGGGAACACAAACGCATGCCCAAGAGGCTGATTTGAGAGCCTCAAAACCTTATGGTGTTTTGCAGAGATGGGTTGAAAATGCATATTTTAATGGATGCACACTGAAGTATGCAAAGGATAATTTCTCAGTCTAATGTTTTCATCTCTTATCAGTCATAATAGATGTGAGAAGGCAGCATCATTTGAAAGAGCTGTTTCAGCTCATTTTATAGCAATGCACAATTTAGGAAGAGCACCTTCCATGAGCTGTTATAACGAGCTCTAGGAAGCTGGTGTCCTAAGTGCCAGGGATAAAGTATAACTTGGTGGCCTAAATTAGAGATTAATAAGTATAAATTCACATCACTGAATTCAAGGTTTTATTTAATATATGGCTTTTCCTGGAACAGTCTTTTACCTAATGCAATTTTACCAGAAGTATATGGACTTCTGTATATGCCCTCATGGACCTAAAACTATGGTAGGAATAGAAACAAACAATATCTGAAATTGTGGTCAAGGAAATTAAAATGCAAAGAGGTGTAGTGTTAGAAAATACCAGTAGGAACTTCTTAGATAAGGTGAACAGGAAGGCTCCTCTAAGAGCCTTTAGGCCCAAAATACTGTAAAGGAGGTAGCCTTGGGGACAGAGATGGATGAAGGGAAAATTCAGGGCAGAAGATTCTGGAAAGGGCAAAAGCTTGGACGATTTGAAGAACTGAAAGGAAGTTATTGCAGCTACAATGGTCAAAGAGAATAGCATGGACTGAGGCTTGAAGACTGGGGAAGTCTTTGTAATGAATCTGGAGAATGAAATTACTGGATGGAATGTTTATTACTTTTTTACAAGTCCTTATCTAATAATTGATAATAAAATACCCCAAATCAAAAGAATAATGTTTAGAGTTTAGCATCTGGAAGTATTTCCTACATGGAAATCTTGAATAAAGTGCTTTATGTGCATTTTCTCAAATCATTTTCCCAACATACCTACAAGATAGGTACTATCCTTATTCTATATTGGGAAAAATGAGACTCATAATACAGTAACTTTTCTAATATCATACAGAAAGTAAGTGGTAAAGCCTGGAGTTGAACCCCAGACTACCCAGATAAGTTCTCAGTCAAATCCAGAGACATCCTCCTTCATTTGAACTTTATCCATCCTCCAAGCATTCATAGAAAGGCAGACACTGCCTTTGGGTGAGAACTTGGTGGGAACGGGACTCCTTTTGTTTCCACTCAACCTTACCATTTTATTTTTTTAAAGATTTATTTATTTATGCATAAAGGAACTTGGGTATAGGCCAGAGGTGCGGGAGGGTGAGAGGATTCACCAGAGACAGAGTGGGGAGCAGAACAGGCAGATTGACTGTAATAAACTGCTGAGGGGAGCAACAAGCGAGACAGGAGAGGTCTGCTGCACTATATGAGTATCTCCCTGGTTGGGGATCGAACTCATGCTGCAGTGGCTGTTGATAGCTTCATAGTGCTGCAACTTACCCCTTGCACCACCAGGGAGGCCCCCAACCATACCATTTTATTTGGCAGATACTGGGATGGAATTCAAACTCCTAAGAGAACCAGGGGTCTGTGGGAGAGGATTAGAAGCAATGCTTTGATACAAGTCCAGAGCAAAGATATAAGAAGGCGTCAGATTTGCTCAAGTAAAAAGAGGGAGCTGCTGCATCTGGTTTTTATCAGTTTATGCTCCCTGGGAAGAGCTGGTAGACAAGTGAGAGAGGGAAGTAGAAAGAACTGGATAATGGAGAGTTGTTTCCTTGGAAGCAGATCTCTTTAATATCTCTGATTATGACAATGTTCTTATTTTTAATGTGCAAGTACAAGGAAACATTGAAAATGTGACAACAGACCCATTTAGCAGGTATGGCATTAGGACTCTGGAATAATGACCATTTAAACATTGTGTTCTTTTTAGGGTGATTTCTTGAGCCCACAGGATTAACCACATTACAGATGCCAAATCTAAGTCCATGAGGTGCCCTCTTCTGTCCCATCACCAAAGCAAAAAGTCTGAGAGTGACCTTGTATTCCCCTTTCATGTCATTCATTCAGTCTCCTAACTTTGTTGCTTCTGCATTCTTATAATTGCTGAAAGCTCTATTCCCTTCTCTACCTCTGCCTCGGTTGTGGTCCAGGTAACCATCAGCATTTGTCCACTGTGAGGATGTAGTGTTCTATCAGCTGTACCTGTCTACAATCCTTCCTTAGGACATCACAGCTCCACACTGCTGAATGAGCAATCTTTCTGGAATGTAAGTCTGATTGTGTTGCTCCCTTCTCCCACTTATTCCCATTCAAAGGGCTTCCATTGCCTACCAGATAAATTTAACTTCCTTAGCATGGCATGGAAGGTTTTCTGTCTTCAGACCCTTGCCTCCTTTTTTATCCTCATCTCTCATTATCTACAGTGAAAAATAAGTTACTTACATCTTCACCCTCCCCCAAACAATCTTGGCCATCTTTGGCCTACAAACACTTACTTATGCTGCTCTGCTTTCTGAGAGTGCATTCCCTATCCCATGTTTTGAGACACAGTTCAAGTGCTACTTTTTCCATGCAGTGATATTTATATCACTTCTTTATAATATTGTGATGGACAAAATAATGACTTCCTCAAAAGATGCCCATGTACTAATCTTTTGCCATGTAATTACCCTACATGGTAGAAGAGACTTTGCAGATATAATTCTATTAAGGGGGATTAGCTTGGATTATCTGGATGGGCCCACACAATCACAGGTCCTTATAAGAAAGAGTCAAAAAACTCAGCACCAGAGAAGGAGAGAGAGAGAGAGAATATTTAAAGATGACTGAATGAGGCTATGAGTTTTGAAGATGGAGGAAGTGGTCATAAACCTAGGAATGCAGGTAATCTCTAGATATTGGAAAAAGCCATGGAAAAGATTCTCCCCTAGGTCTTCCAGAAGGAATTCAGCCCCACTGACACCTTGATGTGGAAGTCACATCACTTTTAAGCCTACACCTTAAAAGATCTTGTGTCTTCTATGTTCATTCTCTTGGAATCTCAAAATTGTCAGGAGAGTGAGTCCAGACTAGTCTACTGGTGATAGGAGATAAGTGGTCTCGTATTTTCTCATTTTTTTAATCTGACAGGCAGTTAATCCTTAGAGAGAAGAGCCCATTTTCAACCAGAAAATGACCATAGAATCATGAGTGAGCCCAATCAAGTCCAACTGATCTCAGGTGACCTAGAGAATCACAAGTTCCATAAATAGCCTAATTTCAAGACATTACATTTTAAGATGGTTTCTATGCAGCAAAAATGAACCGATACATAAATTTCAGGAGTATTAAGGAAGAGAAAAGCAGAGGGCAGTGCAATCTAAGTAAATCATATAAAATCAAAGCAGAATTCATGTTCTTAGTAGATTTTATGAGACTTTATTAATGCATTAACTCAATTACTTTATCCTATACCAAAAGAGAACAAAGTGTCCCAAATAACCCTGATCTTCACAAAAGGTGTGTGCATAACCAGTATTATGAGGAGACAAGGTAAGAAAATAATTAATTAAAACTGAGAGCTTTAAAAGGAGAGAGTGAATCATAAAAAGTGGGTTGAAAGTTGCACCATTTAGAGGGAACAAAGGCATAAGGAACAAGTCAATACACAATTTATCATGTCTGATGTTATCAGTAATACCCAAAGCACCAGCCAGGAGTAAGGTAATTATATAACCTTCAATGGGCATGGCAAAAACCCAGTGGAGGCTGTGGAGTCTTCCCTCTGCCTGGACCAATGCTTACTTAACATTCAATGTATCCATGATATGGTTTGAGCTCTGTGGACCTGTGTAGTTTTTCAGGGAGTGTTTCCTCTCCTTCTTAGGAAATACAAATTAAAATTTGCTCCATGGAGACACCTGACCCTTTAACAAGTATGTAAGTTTAATGATTTTGTTATCTGCAGGTTCCTTTTACTTCTTCCTGTTTTCTAGATAATAAAGTCAGTTGTTACATGTTAAAGCACTTGAAGCTCTCTTCAATCTTATTTTGACCTAATTTACTTTAGCAGATGCAAGAAACATCATCGTAAAGTTCATTAAAATGCTCCTTCTGTGCTTTCTGTGCTTTGCCTATTGATGAGAATTAGATGTTCTCAAGTTCTAGAGGGAAAACAATGACCTATTAGACCTTATGGAAGAAAAATGAAATAATAAAAAAGGATTATTCTAAGTGGTGATATCATTTAAATAAAATGGATTACAAGAACAAAATAATAAATGATTTGAAGTAAAAGCTATCCTTGGAAATTCAAAATTTACTCAAAAAAGAAAACACCAAATAGCTCACCAGGAAACTCATTACCTGGGGAGAGGGAAAACAAGAGGGCTCTGAGTACACTTAGCTTGTAGAGCGATGGCCCTTCATAGGCACAGAAGAGGAAAGGACTAAGTACAGCCCCCCTTTAACACACAGCTTAGCTGTCCAGGAGGGAGCCCAGAGAATCCCATTGTTGAGGGGCCTCTCAGCAAGGAGGGGAATTTCCTCGGGTCTACCAACTCTGGCAGAAAACACAAGGAGTTTTAGTTGATATTTCTATTTGGTCCTCATTTGAGGTGGGAGGCTCCCATCTTTATAAAGGCGAGTGGACTTGAGGAAAAGTATTTCAGAGCAAGGGGAAGAAAAAAATACAAAAAGCCCAAAGAAAATTTCCAGATGGAGGTGGGTTCACCAGGAGGATGGGGACCAGCAGCAAGACCTCAGGGAAAGAGCTGTGATCATGAATGAGATCTGCTCCTTTGCAAACAGTATGTGCAGTGGTTCAGAGCACAAGCTTTGGATTCTAGTCAATCTGAGGATAAACTTTGTAACATCACTGCCTAGTTCTACATCCTTGAACCGATTCCTAAATCTGCCAAACTTTGCATTTACTCATCTGCCAAATGAGAGCAATATCTCCCACCTCAAAGAACAGTTGTGAGAATTCAATGTATTAAATTTATTTAACACTTTCTACCCTGGGCTTGAGCTTGATCCACAGCAAGAGTTTTTGAAAATGGAAGCTATAATTGTTACTTCTCTCCTCCCCTTCTCAGATCCTCCTGACCAATTTCATGAAATTATTTACTCTTCACCTGGCAAGTCAGCCTGAGGAGGCCTACTGGTACTTATGCAACAGAATGCTGGAAGAGCAAATTCTGAATGGTTGTCACTTATTCATTCATCAAATATGTTCTGAGGATCTACCATATCTAGAACCATATGTGACAGAAAAAAACAAGTAGAGCCTTTATATTTGAGGTCTATTTCAGAGTAAACAATTTAATGGGGCCAGGAAAAAGTAATTGACATCTGGGTATGACATCATATAAACACACACACACACACACACACACAAACTATATACAATAGCAAAATAAGAGAGAAAATGGGGCCTTGAGTTTTCAGGTTGAATGCAACTATCACTCCATGAGCAAATATTCAATTCAACTGATAGATTCAGTTGGGCTTGGCTGTACCAACTATCCATGAGTATTCAACAGGCTGTAGGTATTACCTTTTTTTTTTTTTTAATAAAGGGTCTAAAGAATGGAGATTGAGCCAACTAGTACAATGAGAGTTTTAAAGAGTTTGAATTGCATTTGCAAGTTATAAATTTTCATTATCATCATTATCTGATGCCTTCAGGTCTGCTTTTTAATTGTGGAAAGAACACTTAATATGAGATCTATCCTCTTAAACTTTTAAGTGTCCAACTTATCATTGTTGACTATAGGACTAATGTTTTACAGCAGCTTTCTAACACATATTCATCCTGCTTGGCTTGAAACTTTATGCTGAGGTCCCTATGTTCTTGACCTTTCCTTATTTCTAGCTCTCACGTTCTGTGCATTGCAATCACCATGGCTAACCCAGGATAAACTATAGCTCTTAGCTTTGAGAACCTGGAAGAATGAGGCAAAAGAATGATGCTTTCAAGAATGTTATCATCTTAAAAGTCATGATTACAGGGAAAACCACACCCTGCAATCACACTGTATTATTTATGAACTAAATTCCTTTCAGTTGACGCAAGAAACATCACTATAAAATTCATTAAAATGCTCCTTCTGTGCTAAATGGATGGATTTATTTAATAAAATGGATTACAAGAACAAAATAATAACTGATTTGAAGTAAAAACTATCCTTGAAAATTCAGAATTTACTCAAAAAGAAAACACCAAATAGCTCACCAGGAAACTCATTCTTACCTAGAGAGAAGGAAAACAAGAGGGCTCTGAGTACACTTAATTTATACTTCAGTGAAAATATTTCTGGATAATATCTGCCCTGTCAGAACTTTGGGCCACATACATTAGAAAATCACTTACTCTTATTCATTCTTTAGCTATTTGTACTGTTATGAAAAGTGGCCGACCAGGGCCTACCTGATGGTGCAAGGGGTTAAGCACCACACTGTGAGGCAATCCTCAGCCTTTGCAGCGTGAATTCAATCCCTGGCCTGCCAGGGAGCAACCCATATAGCGAGGCAGACTGCCCCTGTCTCGTCCGCTGCTCCCCTCAGCAGTGTACTTCAGTCAGTCTGCCTGTTCTGTTCCCCGCTCTGTCTCTGGTGAATCCTCTCACACTCCCACATCTCTGGCCTGTACCCCAGCTCTTGTATGCATAAATAAATAAATCTTAAAAAAAAAAAGTGGCTGACCATCCTGAGGTATTTCCAATTGTCTCCTAGATTTTATACTTCAAGCACTGTTGGGGGCAGGGGATGTGGTACTCCGTGTGTGTGTGTGTGTGTGTGTGTGTGTGTGTGTAATAAAGGCATGACCAATTATAATAGCAGAAGCATTCATGTTAGAAATAATTTCAGAGTTTGAAGAGTGTAATATGAATTTTAACCTCAATGTTAATAAGATAAGCAAATTAATGAGGTTATTCTAGAGTCCAGGGGGTGGCCATGTACAATTGGAGCCCCATTGTCTTCTAATTGTGCTGGAAGAGTTAACACAGTAATTAGATCCATGTCTGAATTTTTTTTCTCTTTTAACATGTTGTCTCTAATATTTCCATTATTAGATTGCAGTATGGACTAATAAGAAAGAGAATGAGAACAAGGAGTGTTACATCTTCAAGGTACATTCAGATTCATAGCTGGTAAAATTCACTAGATATAATTCCAATTTTGAGTCAGTAAAATAAAATTGTTCCTAACTTTAAACCAGAATGTATTTATGAAGAATTTATTAGGAGTAAAATTGTTCAAAAGTCCATTCTAAAACTTAAGTAAAGTTGTGTTTGGAAAATTCCATAATGCCTAACAGATTATATAATGTATATGCACATAATTATAATTCTCTGGAAGCTGATATTTCATGCCTCACAAATTCCATTTGATATTAGGTTATTTATTCTATTTGCATCCCCAACACCATCATATTTAGACAATGGTAATAATTTAAACCTAAAATAACTTTAGCAAGTCCTTACTTGGAGAACAATAACACACAGTAATCCAACCTTCTGGAATCCTGATTCTTTTATGGAAGACTTTTTAGGAATTGGCAAATAAGGAGAGGGTCCACAACAGAGTTAGTGCTGATTTCACGGAGAAAAGAGCTGAATTTGAGTCTTTGCACCAAACACTGACTAGCCACAACTGTCTAGTCAATTAATAATGGTCATTCTGAGCCAAAGTTCTTTCACTTGATGGAAAACTCAATAGATAATTAATCTGGGCCTCCCTGGTGGTGCAAGGGGTTAAGACACAATCTATGAAGCTATCTGCAGCCACTGCAGCATGAGTTCGATCCCCGGCCATGGAGCAATCCATATGGCACAGCAGACCTCTCCTGACTCACCCACTGCTCCTCTCAGCAGTGTATTTCCGTCGATCTGCCTGTTCTGTTCCCCACTCTGTCTCTGGTGAATCCTCTCACCTCCCACACCTCTGGCCTGTACCCCAGTTCTTGCATGCATAAATAAATAAATCTTTAAAAAAAATAGATAATCTGTTCCTGATGTTATTGTTAGCATCACATAGAATGATGTATGAATTTGTCGACTATGAACCTGTAATTGTGAAACATTCTCAAGGAAGATGAAATGATGATACTGCCGATGGCCAAGTTTTGGATCAATGTAATATTTTCGAATAGGGTGACATCATTTTTTTTAAAAATCCAAAAGAGAAAATCCTAAAACTCACAAAGATGAGAAATAAGTATTTATATCTTCAAAACTTTTTCTCTAGGTGCAAATTAATGAGGTTATTCTAGAGTCCAGGGGGTGGCCATGTACAATTGGAGCCCCATTGTCTTCTAATTGTGCCCTTAATAAATTAATGCTCAATTCAAATATAAAAATATGGGTTTGAAAGAATGAAACATTTTAAATTGATTCAAATCTTGATGACCAATAGAGTCATTATTCTATTTTCCCACAAAATGTTTAACAACTGTACGTTCATGTTGGACAATTCATGTACCAATAACATTAGGAAGAAATAGATTAATTGTATATTGAGATTTTCATCAGGTGAAGGAAACGGTGGTTCAGAACAGTCTTTTTTTTTTTTTTTAAAGATTTATTTATTTATTTATATAAGCACTGGGTACAGTCAGAAGCGCAGGAGGGTGAGAGAATTCACCAGAGCCAGAGTGGGGAGCAGAGCAGGCAGAAGGACCAAAGTACACTGCTGAGGGGAGCAGCGGGCAGCAGGAGAGGTCTGCCCATGTGGGACCCTCCTCTGGTGGCCGGGGAGCAGCCGGGGATCGAACCAGCGCTGCAGAGGCTGCGGGCAGCTTCACAACCCAGCGCTCAACCGCTGCACCACCGGGGAGGCCCTGGAACAGTCTTTTTTTTAAGATGTATTTATTTATGCATATAAGAGCTGGGGTACAGGCCAGAGATGTGGGGGGTGAGAGGATCCACCAGAGACAGACTAGGGAATAGAACAGGCAGACTGACTGAAATACACTGCTGAGGGGAGCAGAGGGTGAGACAGGAGGGGTCTGCCTCGCCATGTGGGTTTCTCCCTGGCTGGCCAGGGATCGAACTCATGCAGCAGAGGCTGCATATGCTTCATAGTGCGGTGCTTAACCCCTTTCACCAACAGGGAGGCCCCAGAACAGTCATTTTTAATTGGCTAGATATTAAATTAGTTTGAAAGAATGGCCCATTCCTTCCATCTGATTTATGATCTCTATTGCTTTTACCATAAGCTAACATTCTCTATTATTTGTTTGTTTTCCCCTCTCTACCATTTTTACAACGCAGTCTCATTCCCAGTGCCCAGAAAAATTTCTAGCACTTAGTAGAATGTTAATATTTATTTGTTGACTGAATCATCAAATGAATGAAATGACAAGATCTAAATGGTAAATTAAGCCACATCTAAATTATTCAAAGTTGGTTTCTAATTAAGGTAACTAATTTATAATTTCATGATTGTTATGATAATGTAGGTGATCTGAGAGTAATGATTTTGTGAAAAACCAATAATAATAGTTATGATTTATTTAGAGTACATAGTATGCCAGATAATTTCACACACTATTGAGAATGGCACAATATCCTGTTCCTCCCTGCAGTGGTGTGAATATTTTCCTCATTTTGCAAGCGAGAGAACTGGGGTTTGAAAATGTAAATCATTTCATTAAAGGATGTGGGATGTTTATATATACATACATACATGCATGCATACACACACAATGGAATACTATTTAACAATAAAAACAAATGAACTCTTGCCATTTGTGACAACTTGGGTGGAACTGGAAGGGATTGTGCTAAGTAATACAAGACAAAAGGAGAAAGACAAATAGCAGATGGTTTCACTCATATGTGGAATATAGAGAAACAAAACAAAGAGTCAGACAACCCCAAGCCAAAAACAAATCCTAGAAATCTGAGTATAAAACTGAGGCTACCAGAGGGTGTAGAGTAAAGGTGGGAGGGAGCATAATGGACCATGGTAGAGGACTGTGGGTGCTTTAGTAGTGGGTGTGGTGTGGTTACATAGTTCTTAATTATATGCACTGCTGTAAACCAGTATTACTCTCATAAAATTATTTAAAATTATAAAAAATAAGTGAATAAAAATAAAAGTTGCACAGTTACTGGGAGAATGGATTCCCCTTGAAATTAAGTATGGATGGGGCCACAGTGATATTTTCTCCTTAAGGGGGATTACTTAACTGTAAAAATTAAATATGATTTAGGGGCCTCCCTGGTGGCACAAGGTGTTAAGACGCAGCCCATATTTGATCCCTGGCCAGGGAGGAGACCCATACGGTGCAGCAGACTCTCCTATCTCACCTGCTGCTCCCCTTGACAGTGTATTTCAGTAAATCTGCCTGTTCTGTTTCCCACTTTGTCTCTGGTGAATCCTCTCACCCCCCCACACCTCTGGCCTGTACCCCTGCTCTTGTGTGCATAAATAAATAAATCTATAAAAAATTAAATATTATTTAATGTTTGCCTGAGGTCTTTGCTGCATCCTCATTCTGGATAGACATCTTAAAAGGCATATTTAGTCATACTCTCTTGATGTTTTAAGAAATATATTTTATCATTTATAGCTCTTCTGAGAAGTCTGATTTTCACTTAATTATCAATTTGATAAACTCCTCAGTTGATTCTGATATAGAGGGCCCATGGATCACAAAATGAGAAACTGATTCTTCTGAAGGTAAAAGACTACAGAAATTTTCATCCCCAAACTTCAGAACCTTCCATATAGAATACTGGATTCCATCCACGAGGAGAACTGAGGTCATGCTCAAGGTCTGGCTGAAGAGAGAGAGCAAAAGAAACCTGGGGTGGTCAAACCACTGATTGGTTTTCTCACAGTCAGAACTGGAAGCTCCACTTTTTAACTTGTTCTGGAATTGAGCTTTAAAACTTCACTGTGTGTATGAATCAGCTAGAGATTATCTAAATGTAGATTATGATTCTCAGTAGGTCTGGGTTGGGATCAGAGATTCTGCATTTTAAACAAGTTCCCAGGTGATGCCAACACTGCTGCTTTGTCATTTTTCCCTTAGAATAGGAAGCTGTAGAAGGAGCTGATCGGCTCCCTTATAATATGCTTAAAGGTTAAGATTTAGACTTGTAGTCCTATGCTAGGAAAGTAAGTGCTTACTCAGTCACATTAAAATGATCCTTTCCCCCATCCTCTTTCTACAAGTATTTCCAAGGAAGAATGTTCTATATTATCTTTTCACAGGTTAACATAGCATGTGAGAGCATGGGCTTGGGGTCAAACACACCTAAGCTACAGTCTCAGAACAATGACTTAAAAAATATGTGTAGGCCTCCCTGGGGCCTAAGGGGTTAAGACACAGCCTATGAAGCTGTCTACAGCCACTGCAGCACGAGTTCAATCCCCTGGCTGGCCAGGGAGTAACCCACATGGCGCAGCAGACCTCTCCTGACTCACCTGCTGCTCCCCTCAGCAGTATGTTTCAGTAGATCTGCCTGTTCTGTTTCCCACTCTTTCTCTGGTGAATTCTCTCATCCCTCGCACCTCTGGCCTGTACTCCAGCTCTTGTATGCATAAAAACAAAAACAAACAAGCAAACAAAAAAACAAAATATGTGCACTTGGACAAGTGGCTCAAGCTCTCTTGCTTCCCCATCCCTAAATTAACAGTGTTGTCGTGAAGGCTCACACCCCTAAGTGGAGAGCCCAGTGCCTGGCACAGTAAGTGCTACATTAATGTCAGCATCTTGCACTCTTATATCCTATTGTGATCCACAGTTCAATATTCCTAGATTTATTAAAAGAATCCATGCCCTTCCAGATTTTATGGGCTCCAATCCTGTCTTTTTCTAACTCCCTCAAAGAGTTGTTATGAGAACTAAATTAATTGGTATGCATAAAATACATGCCTGTCACATAATTAGTACCCAAGATTGCTTAGTTTTTATTTTTAGACCTTACTACAAAGACAATTAAATCACTTAGAGAATTTTTTTTAATTCTCCCCCCTCCCCAGTAGACTAAATATCTTACGAGAGGGAACTGTATCTGTTTTCATTACTTCCTTATCCCAAGTCTTTACATGGACATGTATCACTACTTCATAAGTACAGTGGAATGCACAAACAAATGCATGCAAGTGAATGAGGACA